TTCTCAACTTTCCTCCCAGCCCCTAAGACTCTATTCCTTAGGGCCAAGGAAAGCTACACACAAACATATATAAATGCGTTCTACTTCAAGGAAACCAGAATAAAAGAGCAATGTTTCCTAAACTTAAATCATTCATATATTACCTTTATGTTTTTTGTCAATACTGAGCACATAGGCATTTTTTTATTCCCTTAAAAAAATTTTAGAGACAGACTACTTACTACAAATGGAAAAACAGTACTAGTATCTGCTTTCATTATATAAGTTCAGTTAAAATAGAACAATTATGTTAAAAAATGAATAACCAAGGTAATGCTGAAGACATTTTAGCACTAAGCTGCTTAATGAGGATTAAAAAAATGAAAATTAATTTACTTGTTGTCCAAGCAAGGCAGGAGAGTGTAAATTAAATGTCCATATTACTTGGGAATCACCAAGAACTTTGTTAGATACTTTAAATCATTTGACTAGTCTTTTCAGCAACACATTTTGTTCACTGGCATCATAGAAAAGATGCCTTAATAGGATCTGTGAACCCATGAACCAGAAGTTGAAACTGGTATCTCATAGGAATTGGATATAAACATACTATAAATTGTGTATATTTCTATATTTTACATTCACAGAGAAATTTCGAAATTTTTAATCATTTAGTATAAGGTCATTGAAGATTCCACCTAAGTTTAATTCTTAGAAATTTAGCAAGCTTGATATTACCTTTCTTTTGTTTCTTAACACAGTGGTAAATAAATATAGCACCATTACTCTGGTCAGTTCTTCACAGACCACCATGAGTCTGTAATGTGCAGAAAGTACACTTTCACATAAGACAGAGTGTAGATGTGCTCAATGACACTCAGAAACACACAACCCTTCTGACTCCTGCTCCTTTCCAGCTTTGTTTCCTAGACACTACCAATAGTCCCATGCTTTGTTAAGGAGCTACAGATGCCCCTGATGTTTAGCCCCAGTTTCTACCTCAGGAAAGATACCATTTCTAAATGTCCATTTCTAAAATACTTCACTTCACCTAGAGTAACATTCAGCCATTCAATCTATGAGCAATGAAGGCAAACATATAACGTTGCAATTATTATAATGTACTTTTCCCTTATAGGCTTTTTCAGAGCAGTTCGCCAGGAACCTGTCCAATTTGGAGAAATCGGTGGTCACACCCAAATCAATTACGTTCAGTGGTATGAATGTGGGACCACAATTCCTGGAAAATGGTAGATGCTGCAATCGTGTTCACAAGTGCCTTGTTTCATCGTGGCAAAAAATAATTGCAAACACTATGGTATTTGTCACATTCATTTAAAGCTGTTCTGTTTACTATGTATAAAAGTTTAAAATCTAATTGATAGCAGTATTGGATGTTTTTATTAGAAAAATTGCTGAGAATATTTATCAGGTTTTAAAAAGTCATTTTAATAAAGCAAGATATTAACAGAGTAACATTTTTCTGGGGAAGCTGGCTCCCTATTCATGGTATTTTAAGAGATTTTTTGTATATTATTTATCACAATGTTGTAATGTTTTGAGATACTTTTATAACAAAATTAACATCAAAAACTAATATACTTTTTAAAAAATGTTTACTTTTATTAATGTGTATTCTTCCTACTGGTGAGTTAATTCCATAAATCTCTCTTTGGTTTAACTTATTAGATCAGATTAACTTTAGCATATATATCTGGGGGTAAAATTCACATGTTTATTTAAACTTCAGTTTTTTAGCAATAATTGAATATCTTTTCTGAATGTTTAAATAAACATTTATGTGAATATACATTGCCTCAAATATTTTTAAATTATTAAAAAGTAAATTTCATTTCAGCTAAAAATAGAATTGAGAATGACATACTGTTTCAAAAATACACATTTTTTCTTACTATACTCAATTATATATTACAATATCTGAATATACTTTGTCAAACTATTCCTTCAAGCAACTGTCTTTGTACTGTTTTTAATATAATTCTAAACAAGTTGTATGAAGAAACTGAATGTGAAGTCTGAGCTCAAAAAGATAACATATGATGAGATCGCTGCCATTTTACAGGATACTTACTACATTTTTACACATAAGACTTCTAGGAATGAATGTATCAGAAGATGTTTTCAGTCTAACTTAACCTGTACTGACTCAGACTCATTTTTATTTAAAAAGGTATTTTCCTCATTTGGAGAGGGAGGTGGGAATGCTGCATTGTTGCCCTCATTCTGAGAGGATCCTTTCAACATGCTTCAATTTTATCAATGCTACATTCTGTACTTTTCAAACAAGTAGAAACTGCAATAAAGAGATATAGTGTTTTTTTAAGACTGAGTTCTTTATTTTTGAATGGTTCATCTCTATAAGGAAAATTACATTTAATCAGGATCTACCAAAATCCCCTTGTATCTTATAATACTGTATCTGTTGTGTTTATGTATTATGCTAATCTATCTTCCTGTGACATCAATTTTAAAGTTTCACCGTTTTAAGCCAATAGTTGTTAAATGCATTTCTTTCAAGTCAGGACAAAAATCAGTTTCTCTGAATAGAAACTGTTCTAAGTTAAACCACCTATACTTTATTTACAAAACATTAGTAAGGATTTGTTTCTCACCTTTTTCTCATGAATATATCATTTTAGTGATTAAATTAAACAAGACCGTTAATTGATTCAATCATCTTTATTAACCTATCAATGTTACATTTTATACATAATATCTAGTTGTCTTTTCAAAGAGATCTATTTTTAGTACATCATGTTAATAGTACAAAGCCAAACAAGATGGCTAAATTTCAACCTAGCATTTTAATAACCTCTGGACAAGGCAAGCTAGAAAGTCAATCACTTTGCACACATAAGAGTAGTGTTCCAAAATTACTAGGAAGCTGCTATACTTTTAAGCAGGGGAGGAAAAAACTTTCATTTTGGTCTTTTTTTGTGTTCTAGCAAGTTATACTCTCAATTAACAGCAACAATGATATCATAAAAAATGCTCTGCTTTTTAAATTTCTGAACTTCAATACAAATTAAAATAAAATAATAGTATTGGAGTCTTTTGGGAGGCAAACAGCTACCAGCTACACTTCATCAATGTAACTGAGCTGCTTTATCGATAACCAGGTCCAGGTTGAGTATAGCCCTGACCAAAGGGAGGACGGTTACGTGCATAAGGGTTAGGCCCACTTGGAGGAGGGGTTATGGTACTTGCAGACTGAGTAAAACCTGGTCTTGGTTGATAGGCCCCGGCTTGGCTTGGAGCCATTCCAGGTTGTGAGGCAGGGGCCACAGTATAATTAGTAGGCTGAGAAGTTTGGGTAGCGTAAGTATGTGGAGGGTAATTGCTCGCCTGGTACTGCTGTGGCTGTTGAGCAGGCAGTTGTTGAGGCTGACCAGAAAAGGCAGCAGCTTGTGCCTGGGAAGTTGCTTGCTGGCCATATCCCTGGAACTGCTGAGGTTGCTGGGGTCCAGTCTGCTGACTATAGCCTGCTGAAAAGGCAAAATAAATAATGTATATACTATATTTTTCTGTTGATAAGAATTTTCCAGAGAAATAGCCTTTACTGTTATGGACCAAAAATGATGAGAAATTTAACAAACTTAATCCTAAGTATTTATATAACAAGTAAGGTAGTAGATTCTACCATGTAATCTTATTTCCAGACTAAATGACATCAAAAATTTTCTAAAAATTTTTTAAACCCATTTATCTTAAATTGAAACCTGTATACATATATTTCTTCACTACCAACTGCTTCTACACTATATAATCCCTGAAAGCATAATTCCTAGTAAAGAGTAAATGCTCAAATGATAAAGCGCAGAATTAATGCAAAAACTAGTCATTAGTCTGGTTTTGAGGAAAGGACTATTTAACAACAGTACCAAATAAAAATACATTAGAGAATTAATATTTTTAAATGAAACAATGGTGCTACAAATACATCTAATTGTGATGCTTTAAAAGTTTAGTCACTCTATAAAAACTAAGCCATTTAAGAATAAACATTAAGTACCCATCTTCACAACCCTTAATATTTTCACTTTTTTAAGATTTGGTATCTGATTTTTTTTTTTTTGCCTTTACAACTCAATATTATGATTTAGCAGTAATAACATAACACACAAAAAGCATACCATATTGCCCCACAAAAGCAAAATCTATATTCATTATTTACTAAGGATATAAATTGTTTTAAAAGAAAAAGTCTGCTTCACTAAAAACTTTTATCTCTACCATGAAACACACCTGCAGCTACTTGCAATGAAACCTCTCCATTGACTGGAATCCTGTCAGCATTAAATACCAGATACATAAGAAAATTATTAAAATATGTACAACCCCGCATTTGAAAAAAAAGGATTGAATGAATTTGTGTATATTCTGAACTCACCTTGAACCTGGGTTCAAAATTTACTCATGAAAGAAACCTTTTTGACATAGTCCATGAATAAAACTGGAAAAAGGTCAGAGGGAAACTGGCAAACCAACAGTGTCAAAAGTGGTCCAATGCTACCACCACCACTTAGTCTCCAAGCGGAGTATTCAGTTGACTATTCCCATATCTCCCAATCAAATTCAAATTAATAGGACTAGTGGGATCAGAAATACAAAGACAATTTCAAAAAAGCTAAATTTTACTCAGAGTGGAGACCCTGACTAAAATCATTAAGAGCAAGCTTAATTTTTAATAACTAAATCAAATATCTAATGCATTTTACTTATATTTCCTAAATACTGAACTAAAGTCAATTCATGATCAAATCTTGAATTTCATACAGTTTCTCCTATCTTCTACATAAAATTTTTTAACTTATTTTTTTACTATAAGATTATGAAGAAACAGACGGACTCAGCTTTTATACTGAAAAGGTCTGTTCAACTTAAGACTGTGAACAAAAAAACAAAAAAAATAAAACAAACAAACAAATAAAAAAAACCTGCCTTTTCATCCTGGCAAAAACGAACCAAAAAATCTAAACTGGCTTTTTCACTAACGAGTCTGGAAACAACTAGATCCTTAATTTTCTCTTAAGAGAGACTGACCCCTAAGGGCCTAAGATGCCATTTTCATTAGCTAACTAGTAGAGTCTTTGACTACAACGTGGCAATACTTCCAAATTATATGTATAGTTTCCCTCAAACCACCATCCCCTCCCTTAAAAAATGACTAACTTTGGTGAAGAAACCAGAAATTATAAGAAATGAAAATTCTGTTTTGAACAAAGGAATAGTGGGGTCGTATGGTCCACAAAGCCTAAAATATTTACTATCTAGCCTTTTATGACAGAAAAGTCTGCCCACCCCTAGCTTGGTTTGAGAATGCAGAATGATACAGAGGAGTAATTAACAGGGAAGTAATTAGCTGGAAAGTCAAGTGCACTGGGTTCTTATCTAGCAACCCCACTGAATGGCTGCATGTGTTTCAATGCACCACAACCACTCCCAACCCTAGTTGCCTCATTTATTAACATGGGTGGATGGGACAAAATCAGTGGTCCCAACCTTGCTGACTTTAGAATGACCTGCAATACTTTCAAAATATCAAAACCTGAGTCCCACAAACTAAATGAAACAAAATCTCTGGGAGGAGGGCCCAGGTGCCTGTAATTTTCAAGAAAAGCTCTCTGGGTGCTTCTAAAGCTCTGAGATTTCTACAAATTACATAATTTGTAACATTTTGATTTTTCTTTAATTTTAAGGATTTGCATCCTAAAAATAACCTTCCCTCAAATATCATAATCCAAGTTTAAATTCATTCCACCTATTTTATACTAGTGGCCTGGTGCACGAAATTCATGCACAGGGGTGGGAAGGGGGGTGTCCCTCAGCCTGGCCTGCACCCTCTCCAATCTGGGACCCCTCAAGGGATGCCCTGTAGGATCGGGCCTAAACCAGCAATCGGACAACCCTCTCACAATCTGGGACCACTAGCTCCTAACTGCTCACCTGCCTGCCTGCCTGATTGCCCCTAACCCAGGGGTGGGCAAACTTTTTGACTTGAGGGCCACAATGGGTTCTTAAACTGGACGGGAGGGCCGGAACAAAAGCATGGATGGAGTGTTTGTGTGAACTAATATAAATTCAAAGTAAACAGCATTACATAAAAGGGTACGGTCTTTTTCTTTTTTAGTTTTATTCATTTCAAACGGGCCGGATCCGGCCCGCAGGCCGTAGTTTGCCCACGGCTGCCCTAACTCTCTGCTGCCAGCCTTCTCGCCCCCAATTGCCCCTCCCCCCATCAGCCTGATCACCCCCAACTGCCCTCCCCCTCCTGATCACCCTTAACCGCCTCTGCCTCGGCCCCACCACCATGGCTTTGTCCAGAAGGTCTCCTAGAAGGTCTCCTGGTCTAATTAGCATATTACCCTTTTATTAGTATAGATAATTAAAAACTAGCAGCTACAAGTTAAATCACTATACAGCAAATACAATCCAAATAAAAACTGCTGTGTGTGTTAAGATATGTCAAACTGCAATTAATGATAGAATTTTGTAGTCTAGTTCAGGGACAGGCAAGCTTTATTTTCTGTAAAGGGCTAGAGAGTAAATATTCTACATCTTATGGCCTACTAGAGGCCTGGTGCATGAATTTGTGCACCAGTGGGGTCCCTTGGCCTGGCCTGTGGGATTGGGCCGAAACCGGCTCTCCAACATCCCCCAAGGGGTCCCAAATTGCAAGAGGGCACAGGCCAGGTCAAAGGAACCCACCAGTGCACAATCAGGGCTGGGGAGGAACGTGGGAGGTTGGCCAGCCAGAGATGGACCGCAGGAGGGCTCCAGAGCATGTCCGGCCCATCTTGCTCAGTCCTGATCAGCCGGACCCCAGCAGCAAGCTAACCTACCATCTGCCCCCTGGTGGTCAGTACACGTCATAGCGAGCGGTTGAGCGGCCTTAGCATATCATTAGCATATTACACTTTGGTTGAATGGACAACCGGACGACGAGACACTTAGCATATTACGCTTTTATTATATAGGATGATCTCTGTTGCAACTATTCAATTCTGCCATTACAATGCCAAAGCACCAATAGACAGTACAAAAATGAATGAGTGCAGATGTGTTCCAATAAAACGTTATTCACAAAAATAGGCGACAAGCCATATTTGGCCTGTGGGTTATAGCTTGCTGACTCCTACTCTAGTTTTTACTACAAAACTCCATAAAATAGAAATTAGGCAAGATTCAGATAAACTGATTGTAGCTGAAATTTGACACTTAAATGTTTCATTGTAAAACAAGAGTTGAACATGAACTCTCTAGCAAATGTAAAAATTACCTGAATTGTTATAATCACTATGTTCAAACTATACTAAAGTGATT